CAGTGTATTTTTACCAAGCAAGACAGGATATGTGTGTCTGTGTACACACACAATTGCAATGTAGGATATTTGTTCTTGCATCTCTGACTAAAAATATGTCTCTAAAAGTATAAAGCGACAATCTACCACATAAAAGTATACATATTTGATAAAATATCATTTGTTTTGGCAAGAAATGAGACCAAAGCAATAAAGCTGGACAAAATACTGCAATTTAACTAATTCCTAATACTTTTATTTACAAGGAAAAAAGAAAAGCTTTATTGCCAAGAAAATCCAGTGCCTCTAGCAGCAGTTGCAAATGTAGGGTAGGTATGTAAACAAACAGATTTGCCAAAACTGTGTGACTATGATTCCTACACAAGAAACACAAAGTTAAAAAGCCATACAAATTTTTGATGTTTCCTGAGCTTATGCTGAAAATAACTCACAGGAAAGGGCTGCTGTTGAGATATAGGAGTCCCACCCCCACCCTCTAACTCTGCATAATCTTATCAGCGCTATGACAACATGGAGCTGCTCATTAGGGCTATTAATTTATACTTGGATCATTACATTAAAATCCAGCAGTACCACCAGATGGTAAATGCAACCCAAGAGAGAGATCTTCTGGACCAGGTCAAATGATTTATAATGCAAAAGCCATAATGGAATTTGAGAATTCTTGCAATTTGGCATTACAAGTCATCTGGCAGCTCTTTAAGCTCAGTTTTGTGTTTAAAATGGGGGAGAAAACAAACAAACAAAATACTTAGGACTTCCCTTCATCAGAGATAAGAGTATACTGATTAATTAAAAAGAAATAATTTTGAAGTTTATTTTATTGTGAATCCCAGTGCTTGAGGAAAACCAAAAGATAAATCCAAATCTGTCAAGTGATGGGGACTTCCGGGCAAAGTTTCAAGGGACAGCAACCCACATTTGCTGATTCCACTTCCCCTGCTCTCAGTCCTCCTCAGTCTGCAATCTGGCTTTTCCCCTCAGAGCACCAATGAAACTACTTTCAGCAAGGTTACAAAATGACCTCCTAAATGCCAAATCCAATCATGTCCATTTTATAAGCCTTGGGTCATGTGTCACCACCTCTGTGAAGTCATCTTTAGCACCCTCCCGGGGGAATAACTCAGACAAAGCTTGAATTGATAAAGCCATGTTGTCCTATAATCATCTCTGCCTCACTGGACAGAAGCCCCTCAGGAGCAGGCACCCCCTTTCACCTCTGAATGCTCGGTGCTTGACACATGCTCAATACTGTGGCATAAATAAACTGAGGGCTTGCTAGGTTACCTAGGGAAATCCAATTATCCTACATTTTCTTTGAAGTGCTTATAACAAGAACAAACTAAAACAACAGAGGAAAAACTTGGAATGTTTCCAGGGAAATTTTTCCTTGGTTATAGAATCGAGAAATCTGCTACAATTTCAAGAGGAAAATTCCAACATTTGGACACTACTGTTTTGCTGATTTGTCCATAAATCTTTAACATCAAAGGCCCAAATTTTAAGAACTTCCTTATTGGAAATCAACCTTCTTAAGTAATAACAGCAAATGAGCACTTGCCATGTGCAAACCAGTGAGAGGGAACGGCGGAGGTCTGCTAGGTGTTTTAGATTTATTAGATCTGAAACGTTTCAGGGAAGAGAGCTCGTAGCTGTACCCAGAACGCACGGGAATACTCCAGAGTGGCTCACCATCGTACTTCCAACACAACTGCTTTTGAGAGCCAGAGCAGTGACCCAATGATGACCTATCTGGGAACACCTACAGCTACTATTTCTATGGCCACGGGAACTCCCCTGCACCTTCAGATTTGGCTGTTCCTCCTTGCCCACTCGGGGGTTTCCCAGGGCCACTCCTTACCCATGCAGCCCCCTCCCCCAGTTTCTTCTACTCACCCTGACCTGGGGTCAGAAAGCCAATTAGCAGCATCCTGCTGTCAGCAAAGGACAACAGGGAGGGAAAGAGGGCAAGGATAGGAATAATAAGGAGAAAAGAAGGGAAAGCAAATCTACTGCATAGTAAATCCCAACCACCCAGCCCTTCCTTTCTCCTTATCACACCCACTGTCTCATAATCTTTCTCACAGCCAGCCCAGCCCCCAGTTTCCTCATTCCTCTTTAGTCGCCTCGCCCTTCCACAAACCCTGCTGCCTCAGACCCAGTGGATTTGCTCTTCGGACGTCCCAGTGCTCAACTCCACCCTTGCCACACGTCTTGCCTCAGCCCAAAGAAGCGCTAAGAGGAAGAATTCATCTGGGAAGAGGGAAGGGGAGGCCAGTACAGTAATGGTTAATACAATTCGGGGGCTAAACTGGAACCTTTACCATTTCCAAAACTGCTTCTTTGGGAAATACACTCTGAGTTCCAAACTATCATGAACTAATTTAGAACACGACCTTATTTGGAATTGGGGCCTGCCTACAATTCTCTCTTGATAAATTATAAACATGTTGTTAGAAATTTGTAAACCATAAGCTGATGGATTCATGAAGCATCTACATTCTAAGGAAGGTGAGCATGTGGACCACCCCCAGGCTTGCCAAATGTCTGTTGGATCCACGATCTGGTTGGTTACATATGTAGATCTCGTAAACTAGTGAGTCTCTACGACTCTAGTTTCTCTCCCCTAGGTAGATCCAGACTCACTTCCCTGGGGGTTGAGAAAGTGTCAGACACTCTTCTGATTCACTCCAGCAGAAAAATCTCAAACAGGGTTAATTTGCATTTTTTCTTACCATTTTAGAACCCGGGGGTATTGGATTTTGAATGAATTTCTCCAAGGCACACGTCTACTCTTTCAACAGCCAGACTACCAAGTAGGATTTCCACTTGGATCCTCTCAGCTCACCTGAAACGTAAGCCCCACTTCTCATTTACCTCATTTTACAGTGTCCAGCTGTCCTCACGAAGGCTTGGGTTTGGCTTTCTCCATCCATTCAATGTTGTTCACAAAAGGTACAACTTCCCAGGCAAAACTGCTAGTCGGACCCTATGACTGACGGCTTTTGATTCAGCTGGCACATTTTAGGAGTCTCAAGCTTGTGTAGGGCTCCCCGCTCCAGGCCTAAACACAAATCTCTGTGGAAAGCTAAATTCAAAAGCACAGCTCACCCACTCTTCACCAGGCTGCCCTACCTGACAGCCTGCAACCTGTCCAAAGCCACCCTCGGTTTCCTGTGGCCTCGAGAAAGAGCTCTCCTTATGAATGCCATCCAGCTGCACTGGCAGGCTGTGCACATTAACCCCTTCCAACCTCGTTCCCTGGAGCAGCAGTGCCCTAATTGCATAAGAAGCATACCAGATAAAGGACAAGTTCCAGAGGTTTACAGCTTGTGCGAGAGATAATGACAAACCCTGGGGATTGAAGCCTGAGAGCCAACAGGAAACTTACCCCAAGGGCCAAAAACCAATTTCAAGAAAAAAATTCATTTTAGCTAAGGATAGCAGAATATCATGACAAAGCCAAATTCATTCCTCATTCTCTCTCTCTCTCTCTCACACACACACATACACAAACACACATGCAGAAATACTACACAAAAGCAAGTTAAAAGGAGGATAGTATCAACAAAATTGTTCCATGGAAAGAGGAGAAGAGCAGGCATGAAAACAGACAATTTTTTTCAAAAGTTGGATATTTAACTCCAGTTCTCTGTTGACATATTTATGCTGCAGCAGGGGCTTCCGCCTAGGTACTGTACTAACGTTCAGTGAGGAGGCAAACAGAACGGAGTCAGCTCTCAGAAAAATTAGGCAAGGGAGGTAAGTCACCTTTTATGGGTCAAAGGAGGAAGGCAGAGAGGATTACAAGCAAGGAAAAATGCTACGAGAGCAACTGAAAGTTAAAAGGAATTTAGAACAATTTATTTTTCTTGGTGCACCAAGATTCTGTTTGACAATTTTATTTGTCCAATTCACTCAATAATCCTTTTTTTTTGGGCCCCCCAGTATGTGCCACATATGTTCATATTTCTACAAAAACTCCCATTTTAAGACCTGAGTATTCAAAGGCCTGAAGTTACTGACCTAAGGAGAATACGATGACCTCATATGGGGTCTACGCTTTTTGTGTGAAACATACGACACACTTTAAATACAATGCAAAGGTTCTCTTTGTGACTATGGAGAGAGAAGGGAGCAGCTTCACTGGTTGCTTCCTCTGACTCTTTTTCATTCATTCTCTCATATACCCATCTTAGATCTAGCGATCCCTACTAAGCCCCTTGCTTGGCCACGTGCAGGACAAAAAGATATGACTAGAACTCTTCAGAGAACTTAAAAGTGAACACAGAACACCAGACATACCAACAAATAATCATACCATAAGGCAGACTGAGATAAAGTCTGTAAGGATACCACAGCATAATTAGTAGGTCAGAATAGGAAATAAACACTTCCTACTAGGTAACTGTACGAGCTTCATGAAGCTAGTGATTGCTGAGCTGGACCATCCAGGATGGACAAGGTTTCAATAAGACGAATGGAAGTCAGTAATTAGCCTTCAACAAGCAAAAATAACTAATCCTCAAAGAGTAGCAAATTTTGCAAATTTAGAGGTTTTATCTTACAAGGGCACCATAGGTAAATGCATGGATTTCAACGAACTTCACAGATTTCTTACACCCAGCAAATAAGCCTCAATGAATTGGCCAATTTCCTCACCTAGGTTCCTGCTGGGACTTCTGAGTTAGTGCCCTGGAGGCCCCGGGAACTCTCTGTTCTAGGTCTTCCTTGTTGTACCTACCCTGCTACTGGTTCAAATTCTTTTAAACAGTTACTAAAATAAGCCAACTTCTTCAGGCTTGCATGGCAAATAGCCATTCTGACCCTCTGATAAAAGGAGACTGCACCATGGAATAATTTAATATACACTTAACTAAACCACTCTCTCCCCAAGTGATTTTTCCCCACGTGTAAGATCTCAATCTATCTCACAGGGCTGTTGAAGGTTAATTTCAGTGATGCACGCAAAAGTGTAGAGTCTATCTGACTCCTGTTACCTGGAATGCTGACGTCTGGGTCCAGGTTGCAGCTGGCCATCTGGAGCTTCATATGGTTCTTCCACCTCGTACACATTTGCATCAGTATCCTCTGTGCTGTTGGAATTCTGCCATTCCAACTCTGGAGTTTTCCCTATAGCCATAATAAACGGTAAGTTCTCATACTCTGGTATTTCCTCATAATGCCGTACATTTTCATACTCTGGTGCACAGCCACTTGTAACAGATTTGCAAGGCGCCTGAGATGATGACTCCCTGGAGAGCATTTGGTCATCCAAAGACTCAGCTCTTGGTCCATTAGCCGCACTGATCTGGCCCCGATACTTCTTTTTCTTTTGGGATTCCAGGCTGTAGTTATCTGCAGAATATGCCTTGATAGGTTTACTTCTCTTCTCTTCTACCAACAAGCCATGCCAATCACTTTCAATCCCTTTTCGCTCCCCACCCGAGTCTCCGAGTTGGCTACTCTTGAACCAAAATTTCTGGAAGTCACTCTTCATGAAACAGAGGGACAGCTTCATGTTGAGTAACTTCTTTAATGAGTTTTTCTTTTGAGAGTCTTTGCAAGGCTTAGTGCACTTTTCTGCATCCATAGCAGATAACGATTTCGCTCTAGGCTTGGTCAGGGCAGTTGAAGGCTCACTATTTGAGGATATGGCGACAGACTTTAAGGATTCTGGGTTCCCTGAAAAGGGTAAAATAGGATGAGGTAATTTCCACACTGGCTTTTCTGAAGCTCGTTTAGGCATATCAGAGGATGACATACCATGGCTTTGGGCACACAAATGCCCAAGGTCATTTCTTTCTAGACCCCTCTCTGAATTTTTTTCTTCATTTGAGGGGTAAGAACTTTTCTCCACAAGCTCCTCTGAGGCAGCCTTTTTAAGCACTCCTGCAGCAGGCAAGCTGTGTCTTTGAGGTTTTTTGGGGGCAATTCTTGAAGAACTTTCATCTTTTATTGTAGATTCCTTTGGCATTTGAGGGGCAGACACTCCTGGGTTACAGGCCGTAGGCAAATGTTCGTTGCAAGTTAATTTAAGCTGCTTCGGCAGGCTCATGGACAGAGTATTGCATCTTATAAAACTGGTCTCTTTGTCCTCAGCAAGTGACATACTAGAACCATCTAGTGTCTTGCTGTCCGAACTCGAATTAGAGTCTGTATCTAAAGGAGGTACCATTTTTTCAGAGGAAGATGTTCCATGACACATGGCTCTCTGTGAATCAACTAAGTTTTGTCCGTCACTGTTGGAGTCCACATTGACTTCACTTTTATTTCCTGGCTTCACTTTGTCCACCTGTTCCCGGTTACACAAAACATTCTGATGAAGAACATCGATTTTATTGTTTTTCAAATTATCTTCAAAAAGACAAGAAGCGCTTTTCTCTAAATTCTCTGGTTCTTCAGTACTTTCACTAGGAGTATCTATATACTTCTGGCGTAACAGTCGAGCAGCGCGCGTCTTTCTGGGCTTGGGAATTGGAAATTTGGGGGTATATGGTACTAAGTGAATTTCTAAGGGACCAAGATCTTCGAGTTCTGATTTCTTACCAACTCCATCTGAAGATAAAAAAGTACTCCTTTTACCATTTTCTAGAGCTTCTTGTTCAGATGAATGAAAGCAAGTATTGCTTTTTTCACTGCCATCCTGACAAGTTCCAAAATTTTGAAATTCATCACTAGGAAGCTGCAGGTGGCAAAAGTGAAAATTAGGAACTTTTTCAAAGCTGGACAGGGAACGTGACAAATCCGCAAACTCAATTCTGAATTGTCTGTTGGGATTACAGCCATCATTCATTTCTGGGCTGTCAGTGGATCTGTGCTTCTGTGGGGAAATAAAAGGTGACGTTCGATGTGTTAAAACATCTTTGAGCTTCTCTTCTAGGATGCTTGCCTTTAAAATGACTCCACACTGGCTCTTGACCTTCTCACCATTAGAATCATATTTACTCCTTGTTTTTATAGCTGAAGGAGACTCATCAATTTTACTATTTTCTAAATTTTCATGCATTTCTAGGGACTCGAAGACAAGCTGCTTTACACACAAATTTTCTCTATTCCCAAGCTTATGGATGCACTCAGAACTGCAGGAACACATTGGTAAAACATAACCACTACTCTGATGCCCTATATTTTTGCAATTAGAGTTGTCAGCGTTTTCAAGTAATTCCTGTTTATGGTCTTCCAGATTCACGATGATTTTCCTCGATGGTGATTGCCCGATGTCTCGAGTAGGTGAGCCCTTCAGAACTTTCGGTTTTGGGGCTATTGTTGGTTTAGTTTTCTTTGTTGATTGTGGAACACTAGAAATCACAATATCAGGTTTAGGTGCAACAGGAGGTGGAGCTGGCTTATTATTTGCCACCACAAATTTTGGCTTCGGGGCCACTGGTGGCTTCTTAATCTCTAGAAAGGAAAAAATAATAATTTGATGACAAAAAAACCAAAGCACAAGATGCCTAATGATTAAATTTGATAACTTTTACTTTTGACGATACAGTAAAATTGCATTTTACTAGGTAGATTATGTTACATTACATAGAGTCGATATTACTCTTGAAAATTCCTTAAATTGCCCTTCAATTCCACTATACATAACTTTGGGTATACTGTACATTTCTTAATAAGTCAATACAGTTTTTCTTCTAAATTTAGAACAAATTACCATATATTTAATACACATATTTAATACAACACATTAACATATACTAAATGAAATAATTGGCTTCTGCTTGGGACCCATATAGTAGGAAAAAGTACTTCAGTTCATTTGCTAAGTGCTAAGAGCTGAATTTGCCTAAATTATATGTTGACACAACTCTTTAAGTTTCTCACATGAGTAAGTAGTATTCTTCTACCTCAGTGATATACAGTAGAGTTGTATAAATGCCTTTTATCAATGATCTATCTCACCAGAACCCCAAAACAATCTGAAAAAGAAATACAGAAATACAATCTTAAAAACTGAAAAGGGGCTAGCCCTGTGGCCGAGTGGTTAAGTTCACGCACTCTGCTTAGGCGGCCCAGGGTTTTGCCAGTTCGGATCCTGGACACAGACATGACATGGCTCATGAAGCCATGCTGAGGCGGCATCCCACATAGCAGAACTAAAATACACAACTGTGCACTGAGGGGCTTTGGGGATAAGAAGAAGAAGGAAAGAAAAAGATTGGCAACAGATTTTTAGCTCAGGTGCCAATCTTTAAAAAAATAAAAAATAAGAAATAACTGAAAAGAGATTCTTCTGTATTACTTGAGGCTCATAAAAAAGTTGGTATTTCTCTGTGCAGGGGTTGTCAACTGGGAATTTTTATTATAATCCTTCACAGGGCTTTTATTATTTAAAAAAGTCACATGTCTAGGCTATACCCCAGATCTAATCTATCAGAGTTTCTGGGGGTAGAGCCTGGATATCTGTATTTCTTTGACAGATAATTATGCTGTGTATCTTTCATTAATAACCACTGTTCTAGTACATTTAATAGATGATCACAGGGGCCGGTCCCATGGCATAGTGGTTAAGTTCCATGCTCTTTGCTTTGGCAGCCTGGGTTTAGATCCCAGGCACTGACCTACACTACTTGTCAGCCATGCTGTGGTGGTGACCCACATACAAAATAGAAGACTGGCACAGATGTTAATTCAGGGCTATCTTTCTCAAGCAAAAGAAGAGGAAGATTGGCAACAGATGTTAGCTCAGGGCTAATCTTTCTCAAACAAAGGAAGAGGAAGACTGGCAACAGATGTTAGCTCAGGGCCAATCTTCCCCCCCACCAAAAAAAAAAAACAGTACTTAATGAGCAGCTACTATACTGTGCTAGATTTTGTACAGACCTGCTCCTAGCCCATAGGAACTTAATAAAAGCTTCACACGTGAGACCTATAAAATGAAAAGATACACAGAGCCTGAACATCTGTATTTCTTTTTAGTTCTTTTAAGTTTTTCCACCTATACTGTCACTCATCACCCAGTCACATTTCCCCAAGGAGACTTGAGGCAAAAAATATTTTATCTTATACTTCTTTTTTTTTTCTTTTAAATGTTAAACACCCATTTAAAGATTTTATTTTTTTCCTTCTTCTCCCAAAGCCCCCTGGTACATAGCTGTGTATTTTTCAGTTGTGGGTCCTTCTAGTTGTGGCATGTGGGATGCTGCCTGAGGACGGCTTGATGAGCGGTGCCATGTCCGCACCCAGGATCCGAACCGGTGAAATCCTGGGCTGCCGAAGCAGAGCTCACAAACTTAAACACTCGGCCACGGGGCCGGCCCCTTATCTTATACTTGTTATATTTATGTTTGTTCCCCTACCAGGATCTAATGCTTAATAAAAACTTAATTCACTGAAAAACATAAACATAAACTTTTCAAAATACCTGCTAGACACTGTTTAATTACTTGAATACACAGAGGCTTTGATACTTCACTTGGTGATGATTTTCTTTTCAACCAAGGAAATTAGTCACAACACTCGGGAAGATGTTACATGGAACTGAGTAAAAGAAAAAAAAAAAGGAGTAGGGTGTTCTACTTCCTGTTACCAATCGAGGAAGAATTTCCCAAACCCCTAATACTATGTGTTTCACCAAGATCATATGATAACAGAGGTCTTCTTACTCAATAAAGAAGATAATAAATAATAGTAATAAATTAATATTATTAATAAAAATAATGAAATATTTTCAAAAAAACTTAATAAAATTCCCAAAGCTATACAATTTCAGTTAGCTATTCAATATGCATGTTATTAGTTTTGTTTGTATTTTTTACGCAGAAAACAACTGTAAAACTCTTCAAAACCTAATGATAAAGCTTGGTGTGATGGTCTATTAAATTAAATTCTTGGTCTATTAAGTAAAGTCTTAAGAGAAAGTGTGAATGCCCTGGGCCTCTTCACAGCCTCCCATCTTACTCAAGATAATGAAAACTGACAAGCCGTCATGTTGATTTCATTTCCGTGACCCTTCTTAAAACATCCTACCTCTGGGATTTTTGAAGGAGTGAAAAAAAATCCGTTTTGCAAGATGAAGAGTTCTGGAGACTGGCTGCACACCAATGTGAAGGTACTTAACACTCCTGAACTATGCACTTAAAAATCCCCCGTGGCCAAGTGGTTAAGTTCTTGCACTCTGCTTCGGTGGCCCAGGGTTTTGCCGGTTCGAATCCTGGGCGTGGACATGGCACAACTCATCAGGCCATGCTGAGGCGGTGTCCCACATAGCACAACCAGAGGCACTCACAACTAGAATATACAACTATGTACTGGGGGGCTTCGGGGAGAAGAAGGAAAAAAAATCATAAAGATGGTAAATTTGTTATGTGTATTTTACCACAACGAAAAAAACCAAAACCATCTCATCAAATTAATCTTTTATTTTTTGAAGCTTACAGCCTTGTCAGAAGCTTCAGAGTCATTTAACTAATCAATTTTTGCTCTTTACTTAAATTGTTTTTTTAATCTTTGGTACCAATTTTACTCTTTCCTTTAAATATGTTTTATACACAAGTCTGCTTCCAAGAGACATAAATCCCTGCTCTCTCGTAGTGTCCTAGAAATTCAATTAACTACATACGAGCTGTGGTTGCTTCCCAACAAATACAGCACAGCATTATGTACCTAACGCCCTCGATGCATACTTGCTGAATTAAATAACTAACTGTGAGCATTGGCTTACCACTATTAGCTCGCTGTGTATTGGAGGAAGCCAATAACAACCTGGAGAGCTGGCTAACCTAATTGTGTGCCTTTGTGCAGATCTGGCAGCCTCAGTTTCCTTACTTGTAAATAGGGGAGTTGAATATTTCTCTAGAACCTATGTGATTCTGAGATGATAACTTCTGAGAAACTTGCTCAAGGAGAACTCTTACATTCTCGAGTCCCTTTGCCCTGTATGATTTTTCTTCAGTGTACCTTTGTCTGTCTTCACTGGTAGAAGGCAAGCTCCAGGAGGGCAGGCACTTGGTCTCACTCACTGCTGTAGCCCCAGTGCTGAACACAGACCTTGGGAATAGTCAGAGCTGCCACACACACATACTCTTTGTCTCCCTAACAGAAATTTCTTTTTAAAAAAAAATCAATATCCATTTTAATGTAGAATAGTATTTTGAAAAGTTAGCAGGAATCAATACGATTATTGAATAAGTTCTTAATTATTAGTAGGAATAAGTGTTCAACTAAGTTGCTGGTATAGCAATATCTGAAATCCTTATTATTATTATTATTATTGTTATTTTTTTGGTGACTCTATTTTGAAAGAAACACAAATCAAAAAATAACAAGTCATCATATTATGGTCTGCTCCAATGTCAAACTCTTGAAATAAGCGTGCGATGTTTGGAAATGAATCCAGCACCTTTGGATCTTAATACTGTATCAACAGTCAGACCCAAAGCTTTTGAGAGCAAAGCAGCAAATCTTTTATTTACACAGCTGTTTGGCTCCACGGAAAAATAAGGTAAGAAAGTAAAGCACTAGTACCATTTTACTAACCATTACAAACAGACTCATCAACTGTTACACACAGATGGCTCCAGTTTACATGCACACTTTCTTAGCTATTGGACCAGCCAAAAAGCAAAGCACAGGCATTAACGAGACACTGACCTATACATGTTCAAAAAGATTCAAAATGTGCATCTATAATTCTCTCTCCTTTTTCATATACTGATTCAAACAATTCTAAAATCTCTACTATAGGCCTACTCTTTCACAGATGCAGAAAAACAAAGCAAGCTCTTCTTCAGGATACCTATAACTTAGATGTTCTACAACTTACCCTATTTCCTTAATTTAAGCCAACTATCCCAAATACCACAGATTAGATGCAATAGAAACAAAACACCCTCTCCCCCAATTGCAAATAACTTTCCTAAAGTTTTAATGAATTTGATTATTGTTCCAAAAAGCATCATAAATGGCTTGTAAGAATTATGAACACATAATTTTATAAGAACCGGATAGAAATAAAATCCCAGTTCTCGTCTATATTCTCCACTTAGACGTGAGAAGGAATTATAATAAATCTCAACAGATGGGTGAACAAAAAAGTAGTTAACGCTTCTCAGCAAGCCATGCTAAAAACCAACTAACTTAGCTAAACACAGGAAGTGTCCTTCTTTTAAACACCACAAAAATGTCTGTGGATTTCTTTAATTGTAAAGTTGATAAAATATAAAAATAGCTTGCATTATCCTAGGGTAATTCCAGACTGAGCCCTAGATCAGGTTTACATACTATGTCAAATAAAATGCTTCCGTATCTGTTCATCATACACTGTTAGGACTGGAGAATTGAAACTGATACGTATAAGGTATGAATATTTTAAAAAGTGTTCGACACTCCAAAAGAGGGAAGAAAATTGGCTGGAAGGATTTTAAAATTTCCAATCGCTTTAAATTTAAATTAATTAGATTGGTTCACTAATAAAAAAAAAAAACTTGAACAAAGTGAAGCTCAGAAATTTAGGATGAAAGTAATTCACTCCAAGTAAGTAGAAAGCCTCTCTTTGGTAAGGAAAAGAGAGTTTATAAATAACATAACTTCCAGTGTATGATGACATATCTTCTACACATACATACAACATCAAAAAGGAAAGATCCACATCTTCTTCAGGAATACTACTACAGGAATACTTCACTCCTTGCTTTCTTATTCCTATTGGCTAACTTCTTGCCTTGTTAGTTCTAATCTATTACACCTAGCAATGCAATATGCCAATATATCTAGGCTTTAGAAACAATACAAACCAGAACATTCAGAGAGCTGTTTGACAGTTTCAAGTTGCAAGAATTTAAAACAAATGTCAGGAAAAGCTAAGAAAACAAACTGATACTTAAGTACTAACTCTAGAAGTAATTTTGAGGGGAAGCTTTACACTATTTTACTGTAAAATGCCTAATGAACGTGGACAAAAACGTTTTTTAAAAATCTTAATACATTAGTATTAAGTTCTGGCTTAAAAATTAACTTATGTTCTTATAAAGTGAGTTTAACACGACTTTAGTTATTATTTCGGAAAATAAGAATTGTTTCTTAAGAATATTTAGAAATACAATGTCCAGAATTGTCGAAAATCCACACAAAGGTAGGAAAGGACTGTGGCAGGCACACAAAAATAAGGCTTTGTTTACACTAACCAGGTAGAAATAGGAAAAAATCCATAAAAAATTGGCTGAAGCTGAACAAAAAGCTTGCCATCGGCAATTCTCCTCCTCTGCTTCTCAGGTAAGAGGGGAAAAAACCACGAGGACCAGAGGAACACCGTCTAAAGCTCTTCGTCGAACAGGGTTTCCAGTCGATACTAGGTTTGAAGCGACTCAGCACAGTCGCCGAGTTCAACACTCCGGGAGCAGTGCCCTTTCCTAGAATAACCGATTTCTTAACATGGCAATCTAAACTATTTTCGCACGCAAAAGCAAAGTCGCTCAAAGCTTAGGAGCGGTGAGCAAATGCCCTCTATTTCGCGTTTCACCTGGCGCAAAGACCCCGCACACGGGTCTCCCCAGAGACGTCCCAAGAGACACACGATTTCCAAACAGCCCCCTTTGGCAGGAAGGGACCAGAAAAGGCGGCAGCGAACGCCGTGGGCTCCGCACTTGCCACAGTCCTCGGGAAAGGTAGAGGGAACACCAGTCCCCCACCCCAGAGGAGAAAGCTGCTCCAGAGCCCAAGATCGGCAGCGCTCGCTACAAACTTTCCAGCCGCAGCGCGAGCGCCGTCACTTACCGGCGGCAGAAGTCATGATTTCCCCGTGCAGCTCGATTCCCCGCTCGCCCCCCTCAGTCCATGTTCCCCTTTCAGTCCATTGTTTCAAGAGTTTAGGCAGAAGAGAAAAAACCCCGCGGCGCCCACATTCCGTCCGGCGGCCCCGCGGAGCGCGGCACAAAGGATGCGGCCGGCTCCAGGGACCCGGCGGCGCTCCCGGGCGCGAGCGCCGCCCAGCCGAGCCGCGGGCGGACGGCCAGGCGCGGGCACGAGCAGTGCTCACCGCGCCTCCGCCGGCGCGTGCCCCTCGCGAGCACCGAAAAAATCAGTGCTTCAGGCGCCCCCTGCTAGTCGCGGCCGTAAAAGGCGGACAAAAGCCTCAGCCTCCTCCAATCAGAGGGCTTGAACTGCATCCCGCTCCCGCCCCTCCCGCCCACACGCTCATCTTCTGCTCCAATAAGCGGGTCGGAAATGGGGGCGTGAGCTGCGAGGCATGCTGGGAATTGCAGTTTTCTAGAAACACCGGACCCCAGGAGCAGAGGCTTGGGTGCCGCCTGTTCTCCCGCCTTCATTTCCCATCGTGCTGAGGCGGGTGGCATGGCGGAGAAGGATGACACCGGAGTTTGACGAAGAGGTGGTGTTTGAGGTAAGGGGAAAATGGCGGTGGGTGTGGGATGCCTTTGTTTGAGAAGGACTAGGGGCAAGGCGAGGAGGCAAGACGAGGGGCCGATGCGGGCCAAGGGATCGGGGGACGCTTTTGCCGGCCTGCGTCGCCGAATCCCGGCGATTTCTGGGCCTAGCGTTGGCCGCAGCCTGACAGGTGTCCCGGAGGCGCCCTGGCCGCGGCCGGCCTCTTCCCCAGGCCCGCCCAGATTCCCAGCCTGGGCCCTGTTGCCAGGTCCGTCCGTGCACGGGAGCCCGGCCTGTTCCTTCCCCCGGGACGGATGCGCCGCGGGGGGGCTGCGCCTGGCTGGGGCGGGGCCCCATCCTGCATTTTGGATACTCACTAATACAAGTTAGCCTTTTCCTTTTGCGTGCGCGATTTTTTTGGGTCAGTATCCAGAAGTGCCTCAGGTCACCGTTCACAGTCGAGGCGTGGCCCATGAATGAAGGCAGCAGGTGCTCATTTTCTAATACAGTATAAAATCTGTGTGTGGGACCTGCTCTGGGTGACTAGGACCGGGGCATCTCAGCATCCAGGCTCAATTCTTTTGTCCTTTGCTCTTGCGCTAGGTGTAGCCAGTTCTTTTGACTCGAGGCTCCGGGTGGGAGTGCTTTTGTGTGACTCTTTTAAGACGTTCTCTGCCATCTTGAATGAAAAAAACCAGGCGAATGGTTTTGTTGCCGTTTATCTATCAGACACAGGTGAAAACTCGCACCCCTGAATGGATGTATTGCATACATGTATGCTTTACATTCACTCATCCAACTAGATTTTAAGAAATTTTTAAAAAGAAATGGCCCATTCCGAACAATGGGGGAGCTAGACACTAACAATACAGAATGGCATATGTTGAAATATGTACAAACGTCATTGGAGGATAAATTTGGAAATGGCTCTGTTCTTGATGGCCTCCGAGAAGCTACACCCTTTAAGTGATAGCGAGGTGAATCTTGAACTATGAATCGGATTAGAAAGACGGAAGGGAAAAAATGCTTTATAGGGAAAGAGAACAGAGTATGCCAAGGTTGGAATGTGTCAAAGTACCTAGTGTGGATTTTTCAGAGGCTTGAGTGGGGAGTGTCGCTATATAAAGTGGTTTCATGTGGCTAGAATGTGGAAGTAGTAGAAGATAGGACCATTTTGCCAAAACGAAGAGTGGATTTGAGGAGCTCACTAAGGAAGACAAGCCCCTGAATTTTGGAAGTGAGAGAAGAAATAATGGAATAATGGCTAAAATCGAGGAAACAGTTGCAGATTGAATGTGGGAGCTGAAGGAGAGACAAAAATCTAGATTGCTTAGTTGTCTAGAGTAAGGGAAACTGTGGATATTATTTTTTTTACCATGTTACTTTCTTAAATCTGTGAATATTATAGTAATAAATGTTCAAAGAACATTTCATTGTAGAAAAGTCACGGAATTAAAACCACCCATTATCCTACTACCCAAAGACGGCCACTATTAACATTATACTGTTGTTCATACAGTTTTTTCTATGCAAATGTATGTTTAAGTGTATGATATTTTTTAACACAAAAGATAGCATACCACTTAGAATTTTGTATGTATTTTTCACTTAAATTTATCATGAGTCTTTTCATATTCATTACTCTTTGAAAACATTATTGATAGCATAATATCCCATCGCGCATATGTGTCATAATATAACCATTGTTCCATTATTGGACAGTTATATTGTTTCGAAATACTCACCATGGTAATCAACACTGACATAAGTCCATCTTTAACTGCAAATCTGATTTTCCCTTAGAATAATTTCTAGAAGGGAAATTAGTGGGTCAAAGAATATGAACATTTTTTTAAGACTTAGGCAGAACAGTTATAAGAATTCAAATTGCCATTGGGCATGAGTGTTAGTTTCATCAAATCCTCAGCAACAGCCTTATTGGTTTCCTTTAATCTTTGCTAATTTGACAGGAAAAAGATAGCATTCCATTGTTCTAACTTACATTTTGTGCATTTTTTGGAGCCATTTTTATTTGTTTGCTAAGCATTTCTTTTCATATTTTGTGCCCATTTTCCTATTGGATACTAACTTCTTCAAAATTGATTTGCATGAGTTCTTCGTGTGTTACTTAGCCTTATCACACTTGTAGAAAATTTTTTTCACTTTGCTGTTTATTTGCTTTTTGTCATGTCCATTGTTTTATTGCAGTATGTTATTCAGAAAAAAGTGCACAGATCATAAATGTGCAGACTGATGAATTTTCACCTTGAACATACCCATGTAACCAGTACCCAGATCAAGAAACTGAAATTCCCAGCATAGCAGGTGCTCCCTCTTTCTCCCATTCAGTCACTTCTCCACACCCCAAAGATAACCACTATTCAGACTTATGATAAATAACCCTGTTTCATCTGTTTTTATAGTTTATACACATTTGTATATGCTCTTTTTGTCTGACTGTTTTTGCTCTCTGGCTTTGTTAGATTCATCCATATTGTCATGTGAGTATTTTTTATTTCTCTGTAGTATTCCATGTGAACATGTGATTTTTTTTATTTATTTTTTTTTGCTGAGGAAGATTCTCCCTGAGCTAAGATCCATGCCAATCTTCCTCTATTTTTTTTTTTAAGTATATGAGCCACCAGCACAGCATGGCTTCTAACAGAGCTGTGAAGGTTCACACCCAGGAACTGAACCCAGCCCACCAAAGCAGGGTGCACTGAACCTAACCACTTGGCCACTGGGGCTGGTCGCATATGACAATTTAATTTTGGGGGGGGAGGGGGCCAGGGGGAGATGTCCCTGAGCCAACATCTGTGCTAGTCTTCCTATATTTTGTATATGGGACTCCTCAGATGCCACCACAACATGGTTTGACGAGTAGTGTCTGGGTCCATGCCTGGGATCTGAACCCATGAACCCCAGGCCACCAAAGCGGACTGCAGGAATTTAACCACTAGACCACTGGGCCAGTCCCCCTACATGACAGTTTTTTAATCCATTCTATTGTAGATGGTCTTTGGGTAGTTTACAGTTTGAGGCTGTTATGAATAGTGCTACTGTGAACCTTTTAGCATATGTGTTTTGTTGAACGTATTTCTGTTGGGTATATACTTAGGAGTGTAATTGCTGAGTCATAGGAAGTGCATATATTCATCTTTTGTAGATCTTGCCAAACGTTATTCCAGCGCAGTTGTACCAGTTTATATTCCCACCAGCAGTGTTTGAGAGGTCCAGTTGCTCTACATCCTCACCAACACTTGCTAATTTCAGTCTTTCTTTTTATCATTCTGGTGGGTGTGTACTGGTGTCTCCTCTTGACTGTAATTTGCTTTTTGCGGATAAGGAAATTGAGAGTCTTTTTATACGTTTATCAATGGGTTGTATATCCACTTCTAGGAAGCCAATTTAAGTTTTTTGCGTATTTTTCTATTGGGTTATCTCTTTTTTCTTACTGATTTGAAGGAATTCTTTACATATACTGGATATAAGTCCTTTGTTGGATATATGCACCTCAAATATCTTATCTCAGAATGTATATGGCCCTCTCTCAGTAGTGCCTTTCAATGAACAGAAGCTCTTAACTTTATTATAATTCAATTAAACATTTTTCTTCTATGGTTAGTGCTTTTAAAGAAATATTTGCCAACTCTAAGGTCACAAAGATATTTGCTCTAAAAGCTTTATTTTACCATTGGCATTTAGATTTGCCATCCATCTGGAACTTATTTTTATATGGGACAAGGTAAAAGTCAACATATTTTTTTCCCACATGGATGTCTACTTAACCTGGCATTTGCTGAACAGACCATCCTTTCCCCTGTTGAACTGCAGTGTTGCCTTTGTCATAAATCAGGATACCTTGTGTGGGTGGATCTGTTTCTGGATGCTCGCTTCCATTGGTCCATTTGTCCATGCTTGTACCAATACCACATTACTTTAATTACTGTAACTTTGTAATAGGTCTTAGTATCTGGTAGATAAAACCCTTCAGCTCTATTTTCCTACAAGATTGCTTTGGCTATTCTTGGCCCTTCGTATTTCCAAATGAATTTCAGAACCTGCCTGTCAATTTCAGTTAAGGAAAAAAACCTACTGAGATTTTGATTGAGATTGCTTTGACTCTCTAGATTAATTTGGGCAGAGCTGAGGTCTTTACAATATTGAATCTTCCACTCCATGAACATTTTAATTGTTTGCCTTCTAAATGAGTCAGGCAGCTTCCCATCTCTGTCTGTGCTCTAGGACTGATTTTACAAACTGAGAATATAGGGGAGGAAAAATAATTTTCCCCCTACCCTTCTGAGTTCTTGGCTGAGACGCCTGTAATAAAAGATAAGTTAACTAGAGAAAAACAAACAAAAATTTATTAACAGGTATACCTCATGTATACCTGGGAGATGCTGTTAAAGAAAAACCAGAGCTAGACAGTAGTTAAAGCAGTAAAAACAGTTTATTCAGGACCATTGCAGTAGGGGGAAAAGAGACCTCAGTATACAACCTGGCTCAACTGCAAATACAGAAGGGCAAGTGGGAATTTAATTACTAAGAGGTAACATCAGGGTAAGAGGAGTTTTACTAAACTGATCTAACAGGATTCTTCCTGAGACAGGCCAGGGTGGTCAGACATCACCAGAGGGGATGGTAGAAGATGAGGAACCTGATATCGAGGGTGATCAGATGTGGAAGATGGGAGACTCTTGCTAAACTGACTTAGCAGGGTTGTTCCTAAAACTGGATTTTGCGAGGAAGAGCACAGATGGGCCCTTGCTAAACTGACTTAGCAGGGTTGTTCCTAAAACTGGATTTTGCGAGGAAGAGCACAGATGGGCCTAGGAGGAGATTCAGGAGCCTAACTAAAGTTTAGTCAAGCAAAGAATCTTTGTCAATACCCAGGGAAAAATTCCAACTCCCCAAGGTGGCTTAGAATTCAGGCTTAAATACCATCTCACTGAGGGGACCAGGGGTTAGTAGGCCTCTTAGGGGAGAGTAAGTGATTTTTATAAAAGATGAATG